ATAGGTGTGTGTGTATATATATATCCAGTTATGACCTCGTCTAAGAATTAAGATCTGTAGGAAAAGTCCACTATCACGGTGCTCTCTTATCTAGAAAGAGTAGAGGGTATCTTCTTGTTATGGAATGCATTTCCTCAGAAACTATTTAGCTCTGACTCTCTCAGCTTTTATCAAATCTGTGAAGACTCATCTCTTCCACCAGATTTTAACCATTAATCATTTTCAGTATTATAAACTAATAAATATTGTACTAATTGTTTTAATCACTTGAAAACCAGAGATTTCCTGTTTAGCGTGAGTGTCAACAGGAAATTATGTCTGTCTTGTTCTTTATCTTTCTATATATAGAAAACTTAGGTTTTTTTTCTTCAACAGAACAAGATGACTTTCCTCCATTTTACAATCACAATCATTTCTACTTATTTATTTGTAAAAGCAGAGGCCTCTTTTTAGAGAATGATTTAAATAAAACCCTTATTTTACCTATTGATACTTAATTTCACTTGAGCATAGGGTATAAAATTACAGGCACAGAGTTATTCCTTACCAGTACATTTTTAAGTTTGATGTCTCTATGAACAAGCCCCTGGCTATGAAGAAAACGAATCCCTTCAACCACATCCAGTGCAATCTGTAACCTTGTCTCCAGTGTCAAACCAGCCTAAGTGAAAAGAAAACTCTCTTTTAGCAATCTCTTAATGTGATTAGTAGCTCCAAATATTAAGAAGTGATTCTTGTATATGACAAAAGGTTTTCTCAGGAAAAAGTTTCTTAAGAGAATAGTTCCTCTCAGAAGATTAGTTGAAAAGGTCATGGCATGGTTCTGCTTGTTCTATTCTATTTCATTCTGCTAGGCTGAATATGAGAATGCTAACTGGAACACACACACACATTCTCAGGGAAGTCTATATTTGCAATAAAATGAGGAAGGAAAAGGTTTCCAGGGCAGCCCAATGAGAATTCAACACTCTCAGCACCATCTGAAGCAACTGAATATTGAGGGTGGCAACTGAATAAGTTAGAGTTAATTGTTCTTTTGGAATCCCTGAGACAATAGTGTGGGGAAAATTATGGTCTCCTTCTTGCACTTAGCAGAAGATTCCAGAGTTAAGAAAGAAAAGCATTTTTTTCTCTCTGTCTCATTTCTCAATATAATAGTGATATCTTTTATTTAGCAAAATGGGGTGGGGAAATATAGGAACTAGCAAATAAAAATGTTGCTTTTTCAGTCCTCACATGAAACCTAAATAGTCCTACTAAATGCCCATTTCCTTATTGGCTGGACATAAGCAGGAACCATGGAGATGCTAACCTAATGTGATCTAATCTAATCTAAACTAAACTAAATTAAACCATACCATACTTTTGAGTGAAAAGTGGAAAGGGTTACACTGAGATTAGAGCTACCACACAGGGCCACTAGTCGGCATTTCATTTTCTTTAAAACCATTTTTCCTGTTTTGAAAGAGTTTCTCCTTACCTTTAATCCAGTATAGAGGTCTCTGTGTAACTGTTCCATTATCAGTAAAACAGCAATGCTGGAACCTCCTCCATAGCTATAATCTATCACGGATCCATGAAGGTCTACCAACCGCTCATGCTTTGGCAGTGACCTAGAGGGTATGTCAAAAGTAAGATCCAAGTAGTCATTCTATCTATTCGATTTCTTAGGAACAGACAATTACTATCAAAAGAAGCAAAGCAGTTTTTCTAACCTAGAACATTTCAAGATTATTTTTCTTTAACCTATACTTTCAGAAATATGCACTTAAAGTATTGTTTTTAATCAGTGTTAGGATGAAAAAATTACAGATAAATATTCTAACTATGAAAATATGCAAATTGCAGCAAATCTGCTAAAAGATTTGACACTTCTTTTTGCCAAGTTATATTGATTTTGATATATCTTTGAGATGCGACCATAAGGGGGCTTGCCGTTAAAGTCACATGTTACGACAGACGTTAAACAAAATGGGCTTCCTAATGACCCTCACACCCTGCTCTTCTTGATTGCGGCCATTAAATGAAAGACTAGGTCATTAAATGGAGCATAGGGTGAAGGAGGGAGGCCTTTGTAGACCTAGTGCAGGTCCACCTCCCAAAGTCTTCCCCATCCTCCTGAGACACCTCGTCTCCACATGCCTTTTCTCACTCCCCCGGGACCCCATAGGCTTTAGGTCCAATTCCTACCCTACCAGGACAAACACTCTCCTCATCACTGACTTTTTCAAGAGCTCCGAGGCATTTCAGAGACTGGAAAGGATTGCTTCATTGCACAGCCATGTGACATGATTCTAGAAGCAGCGACAATATTTACAACTACCAAAATGTAATTCGGCTACTGGAAACATGGTGGCCACCTCCTGAATCATGCAGCAGAGGGACAAAATAACGTTCGCTAATGTAGCCTGCTTTTTGGAAATCTCTGGGGCATTCTAGTATCACTGCCACTTCCAGAACTGTTGTAACTTCGAACAGCCATTAAGTCACCTTTCACATCTTGAGAACTACCTGTAGTTTGGCAGGCGTTTCTTGCTATTTCCTGCTCATTAACCACAAAATGTAATTATACCCACCTCATATAGTGAAATTCCAGTGCAAGATCATTCCAATGCTTCTCATCTGGTGGAACAACAGATTTGAGTGCACATGGGAAGTGTCCCCCCCAGGCATTACATAGGTACACCACTCCATATTGCCCTCGGCCCAATTCACGGCCTAGTTTTGGTTTACCTGAAATAAATATCAACTTTATCAAAGTAAAGTATTTTCTATGGTCCTTTCTGATAGTATGTATTTTTCTATTTTTATTAACTTTAATAAAAGCTAATGACTATGCTATTAATTAGTTGTATAAGTTCAATTATACAATGAACTTCTTCACAGTATAATTTATATAATTTATAATACCATACTGAATCAGATTTAATCAATTGTTACATTGATATAATGTAAAGGATATCTGCTTCCTGACAGCTGCATTATTATTTGGTATGAATTATAAATGTATTCTGTTATCTCCTGTTTCATCAAATCAGGCTGTATTTTTAGATTTATTACATTTTTAATAGCTGCTCTGAAACTTAATAAACGTATAACAAGCTATATGTACAATATTTCAGCTCTTTTTCTATTTTGCTTTCACTATTATTTCCAGGTCTTAGGACAATAAAGTACTAGACAGTATTAGATCTAGAGTTATTCTTTTACAAACTAAAGGGAGTTTTTGGTTGCACAATGCCTCCTACTAAAAGAAGGATTAAGTGATGTTTTTGATTTCTGCCAGTACCCTTCCAGAACTTATTTTCAGATGAAATAATGGATTCCAGGGGAAAAAAGGGCAATTTCCCCAATCCCATAGAAAGAATCCTAAGAGTGAAGTTTCACTAATAAACACTCTAGATTCAAGAATAAGCATTTTATTTGTTGCTAGATCTACTTATGTCTCTTAATGCAAATTAAATGAAGTTTGTATTTAAAAGTAAATTACTAATTTTAATTTCAAATCAATCAATTTTAACTTATAAGATAATTAAAAATGCAAAACATTTAAAATCTTATTTTCTGATCACTTGATTTGGGGGAATTATTGTAATAAGAATAAGCTATAGCTATATAACTTCTTCTACCTGCAACTCCCACCTGATCACACAGTCGCTTTATTTTTCTTCCAATCTATTAAACATTAATTTAAAGAATTGTGTTCTGTTAATGTTGTTTCATACTATGTCTACCGATTTATACTGAAGTTTCAACTCTTTGTCTTTAACTCCAACTATAGCTCATCTGAATGCTATATACAGATAGTCCTCAACTTACGAATGGTTGCTTAGCAACCATTCAAAGTACTGATGGACCTACCTGGGGAGTACTTACAACCCGGATTCGAAACCCTATTCAGGGTCCCATGCGGTCCCATGATCACATTTCAGGCATTCATCAACCAAGCTGCATTTATGGCTATTAGCACTGTCTTACAATCATGCAACTGCATTTTACAACTGCATTTACTTCTAGTTTTTGGCAAACCCATGACCATAGTGAACCAATGGTTCGCTTAATGACTGCCCAAAAAAAGCTGTCATATGACTGGCCCATTTTACAACCATCACGAGTTACAACCATGATGGGCAGGCTTCATTACAGTTGTAACTTGAGTCCCTTTATTAAGGGACTTAGTTGCTCAACACAAATAGCTACCACTGGCAAACATAGATTACAGCAACTATGCAGGCCATGGGCTCAGATCACCATTTGGGATGTGATTTATTTAAAATATATGATTACTAATTGCATGAATGTCTTACTGTCTAGAGTTAGAATTAAAACATAAGCCTTCTAAGTTATGGTGACCTCTAACTTTTCCAATCATTCCAGTTACTATGTGTACATAATATAAATAAAGGACCATCTACTTGTAAAATTGAAAATATTATAGGAGAAAATGAAGCCAAACTATTAATAAATTAAAAAAAAGAAATGTGGCAATGCTCACCATATAACAAAACATCTTGCAAGGACCTGCTTTCCAGTGACAGACGGGCAAGGCGAGGGGCATGGTCTTTCCGCACCTTCAACCAAAGATCTTCTGTTTTTTCAAGCCTACCTGAATGGCCAGCCTCTAGCTAATACAAAATTGATCTAACATAAGTACATCTGTGCCATCCTTTGGATAATATTTAGATAGATTACTCACACAATATTCTACTTTCTTCCATTGAAATTAATATTTAAAAAATTAAATAGTACCAATCATAAATCCTTTCATTCAGTGCCACTATAACTTCAGTCACTGAAAGAATGTTTGTAATTCGAGGATTCTCTATAATTATCCCTTGAGCAGGAGATAATAAGCAACATCTTCTGCTGTTTCCGGTTTGATTTCCAGTTTCTGCCCATGTCTAACAGTTGTAGCTGGTTTATCTACTCTTTTAATGTAACTCTAGATGCAATCCATAATATCAAATGCAAAATGTTTATTCCCCAGTACTTTTTAAGAGTTGGCAAATGAGCACTACAGTATCATCACCTCCATTTCACCCATTTTAATGACTAGAATAGCTGTAACACAGTACAATCCTCCAGTTCAATGGAATTAGCACAGTTGTGTTTTTATAGCTGTATCTCCTATTGTTAAAAGGACTACAAGAGATAAGATGGTGTCCAAGTGCTCTTTATGTTGCCAAAGAGTAGAGAGATGAGCAATAGATGTCCTCCTTATTATTTGAAAATCTGAGATTAAATGTGCTGATTTGTGTTCTTTGCGGTTCAAACTGACCTGTCGCAAAGAAGCAGCAAAAGCTTCATGAGAACTATTTAGCCTTGTTCGGAACTGGCTGCAGATGCTCTTTGCCAATCTGGATGCACTAAGACTCTCAATGGCATCCTGAGCTACCTTCCTTTTCCACTCCGTGGTGATAGCAGGAGGGCTCACCCAAGTGATCCGTTGTATTATCTAAAGAAGAAAAAATACATGTATCTTATTGCTGGAACTCAAGTATTAAAGTGCTGCTTTCATCTTAGCCAACACTAACTTTGGATCTGGCAAGCACAAATAAATTAGGATAATGGATGAGATTAGATAAATGTTGTTGTTATATGTTGTTATATCCAACACACTTGCCATATTTTATCTCTGCGTTTTTAAAATCAATTGTCTTTTATTCCAACATAAGATGCCTCTGAATCTTAATGCATAATGGAAGTAGCTATTTTCCAATTATGCAGATGGTGATGATATGAATTAATAGAAGACAATGTACTTAAGATAAATTTCATTACAATGAATCAATGCTGTTAAAATATTTAATACCTGCTTGATCTGTTCCCACAGCATCCGTGATACCGTTGAACCAGAGTGAAAAGTAACTTCTACGTGGTAGGCTGCATTCAATATCTGCAAAAAGATTAATTATATACCTGCAAATTGAAATAACTGTCCACTATATTTAAACAACTGAGTACCCTGGAAAGAGCTTCACAAATAAATTCCAATACATGGACTCTTTGTGCCAAAAAGCAAACTATTTTGGTCTATGTATGAATTCAGTCCATTCCCAATTTACCCAAGAGGAAGAAGAGCCTGAATTTAAGGCAAACCCATTTCCCAGAGGACATGTAGATCAAAACAATATACATCCACAATCTTGTGCATTGCCCAACTTCTCTAATATGTCAATTAGAATTGCCAACTCCAATTGAAATCAATTCTGCAAATTAACTGCTCACCCAACTGTGTTATGCTGCAAACATAGCATGCACACAAATACAATGGGAAGAGGCCACATTTAAAAAAATCAATAGGATTGATTTTAATCAATATTAACTAATTTCTTATAAAATATGATACCCTATATGTAAAATGAATTGGTCACAATCTACCCACACATGCATAATTCTCTCACACACAAATGTTCACATAGAGAAAATTTGAAGAAATCTGGATTTGGTAAGCAACATCTATACATACTTACTCCGCCTTAGATTCCATTAAGTCTAGTGGCTCATATCCCCAGGTAAGTATGCCTAGACTGCTGCTATGCTGATAGAATGATTTGTATAGCTCAGCTTATTTCACATATAATGGGATGAAAATTGAGGAAAAATTAGAATTTTTCTTAGAATATTGAGGGTTTTCCCCCCCTTCTTCTTACAAAGAGATAACAGATCGATACAGGCCTTTGTGCTGGGCTTAAAGCACAAGAAAATCTGTGCATGCTTACTCTATATTAAGTTTTGTTTAGTTCAATGATTGAAACTCCTAAGTAAATGCATGTAAGACTTTATTCCTGCTCAATCACTGTCATTCTATTCCAGATGCTGAGGCCAAGTATCTACTTGGAAATCTCTTATCTATGGAGGTTATATGCAAAGTGAGGATACTACTATCAAGGGTCCTTATTATGTTACAAACCCCCAGGTTCAGAGGAGACTTTCTATGGCAAACATGCATCCCCTTACACATAAAGAACAACAAAGGCAGTGGTTTATCCACGGTAGTCTCTTTTTCGCTTGAAGGGACAACTCATTCCCTTACTATCCTTCTGCCATTTATTCATTTTCAACAGCATAATGCTCCATTAGCATGTTCTCAACAAACATAGAATGAAGTCTTCCAATACATAGGTGGTTATTAGGAGAAAACTTCTAATCTTTCTGTATATGTTACTTCAGTATCTTTGTGTGTGCATTCTTTATTTATTAAACTTATATTCCATTTTTCCTGTAGGTGTTCAAAGAAGTTCTCTTTTTTTCAACACATGCACTTTTAATCTCCCAACAAACTTGTGAGGCAGATGTTGGGATAGTGGTTGACCCACAGTCATACCCAAGGGGTTGTAGTTCAACCCAAGATTCTCCAATCCAAATCAAATTGTTTTTGCATCACATTGCCTCTCAATCAGCTAATATCCTAGAAAATGTTCTGTAAAATGATCTAAGTAATTTGTATTGCTTTACCTGTTTTAAATAATTGCTTGTAATATGTACTGAAACATCCTGCTGAGATTTTTCCAGACTCTTCAGACATCTTTCCAGAGTGCCTACAAAACTCTCTCGCAAGTAGTCCACAGAACTTATCAGTTTATTAGCAACTGCTTGGTTTAACCTTGAGATTATCAATTCCTGGATTTGCTTAATACAGCACTTAATGTCTTTAGAACTTATAGGCTCCCCATTCTCAGGAATAATTATATCTAGGAGAGAGATAAAGAAAAAAAAATCAACATTAAAGGAAATTTAAGCAGCTTCTCAAAACAAATGTAATGTTACATTTTGTGCTTGAGTGCAATTAAATATAACAGTGATGGCGAACCTTTTAGAGATCGAGTGCCCAAACTTCAACCCAAAACCCACTTATGTATTGCCGGGTGCCGATGGGCGTGGCCTGCTGGGTAGGTGTGGCTACAGTGGTCATGGCAGATGGGTGGGCGTGGCCAGGGTGGGCACGGCCAGCTTGATGTTGCTCCTGGGGAGGGACGCCTCTGAGGGCCGGGCAGGGTTGGGGGAGATCCAGGGGTCTCTGGCGAGTGGGGCGGTGGGCAGGAAGCTGGTTCTGCGGAGTGAGGTGAGGCAGGGCGGGGGTGCCATGTCGCGGGGCAAGGCAAGGCAGGGGCCGGGGCGGCTGCTACCTGACACTATCGGCCCCCACACACAAAGGCCAGCAAGCGCATGGGTGCTGGGATGCATCCGGCCACATGGGACCTCGGCAAGTTAGCGGGCGGCTGATTGAAGAGGACGGTTGCCATCTCTGGGGCATGGCGCGCGTGCCCACAGAGAGGGCTCCGAGTGCCGCCTCTGGCATGCATGCCATAGGTTCGCCACCACTGAAATATAACATGCTACCTAAATTGGGGTTTAGTAACATATCCCACAAATTAAGCATTTTGTCCCTTGAAGTTAGGAGGAAAGTTAACTCTCTTAATAGGACTAGTTTAGTTATTGTAAAATCAAACTCACCTAAAAATAAGCCCTATCAAGCTTTCTTATGGAATAGAAATTTTCAAATCTGCACTGATAAACTGTTCAGATTAATTGGACTCTTTCACTAGATTATTCCAAAACTAAATAGTGAAACTTCAATTTAGCAACCCTGATTTAATGAACTTTGGATGCAACAAATAACAAATAAGATTTCCATCTAGATATCCCTCAAAAACAATATTCATTATGTTCACAATTAAGATGGTGATAAATTTAAAACAGACATGCACACACTTATTTGTGGTAGTATTCATCATTTGTATGATAATGTTATGCAGTATATCATTACAATGATATACCTTACGATTTAACAGACATTGAGGAAGAATGAATACCCCCTTCCCCCAAATGGTTCATAAAATTAGGCTTAACTCTTTAAAAGTTGTTTGTTACTTACAAGACGGACTAGTGTATTATTGAGGTTTATCACATCTAAATATATTTTGTTTTTTTTAAACAAATGAATTCAAATTTTTGTATATGTGCTACTGAACAGTATTTGAATGAAGCTGGCTGGTGGTATTTATGTATATACTCATAGTAGTTAAAAGGAAATTGGAGGTAAAACAAGAGCATAAAGTTAATTTTAAGATCAACTACTATTGATTCCATCTTTACATGAAATTTGCTTTTTCAATAAATAAAAAATATAATCATTGCAGAGCCCCTTCAAAAGTGATAAATCACTTCAAACTGTAGTCCTAAGTGCATCTATCAAAAATGCTTTGTTCTGAATTAAACATTAAATAGGTTAGAATCTTTCTACAAATTATTTTTACAAATTAACTTCTGTAATTAAGTTTGCAGAAGTTAACGTGTAACTGTGCTGCTATACTATAGATTTTCTATTTTTAAAAGTCAGTTAATTTTTTACTGCTGTTCTCATAGCTCCTGAAAGCAAAGACAGATTTATCTTTGATTTTTTTCAAAATTAAAGAAGACAAGCCACATTTAATTTTCAGTTTTACTGCTAAGCAATTGAATTCTGCATAGATTATTTAAATCACTGAATGAAAATATTACTTCTCTCTATAGCATGTTGATTTTCATATAGTTAAAATTATATTTATCTAAAAGAACCTTGTAATGGAGTTTAAGAATCACAGATAAACATAGATCTGGCTCTTAAGTAGTTGTTACCACTGCCCCATCCCAAATAGCATGTTTGAGAAATGAACAGAATGTAATTCCTGGGGAAAAACTATCCACTATCTTTTGGATCTTCTCAATTTTTGCATATTTTGCTACTCAGTGTTACTAGAGCTTCTTGTCGATCTTACCAATATAAAAAAGGATTTGACCACACTGAAATATTGTCATTATTTCATAACATCATCAAACATGTGATGTGCTCCTTAGATAATGTCCCGGTTTCAATTATCTTTTATTGCAATAACTGCAATAAATGCTTCCTATAAGTGAAAACAGTCTCTCGTATATCTGACTCACTCCTCCTTTGTAAACTGCTTCAATTGAGCTTTTCTAGTATGAACTAGAAAAATTAGCATGGGGCCAGGTTATTTGAGGGACTCTATCTCCCAAATCGTATCTACTCATCCCATCAGGTTTGGTAAAGAAAGAAATATTACAGGAATGTCATGTAACGGACCAAAGAAGAGAGTCCTTGGACCATTTCCCCAAGAACAGATTGGTCCTGACCTTGCTGGCCTTCCAGAAGGGCCTGAAAACATAGCTTTGCCATCTGGCCTGGACATCCTGTAATGTCGGTATGGAATCTGTAAAGTGCAAAGTTAGTTCACTCCCCTGCAGATTATGCTCTTTAATAGTTTTTATTGATTTTTGATAACATTTGTTATGGTTTGGGTTATTTTGTAGTATCATTTTTGTATTTTTAACTTTATCTACGTGAGATGAGCAGCTATATAAATTTATCAAATAAATAAATATTAAATAAACTAGTCATTTCAGATCCTACCACAACTTTTCCTTGGGGTTTAGACTAAACTTTGATTTGGCCATTTCAAAACTCTGAATTTATTGTTCATCCATTCTCTCATAAACCTGCTTGAATGTTTATTACTGTTTTTGTTACATAACCCACAACTTCAGACAGCTGGCCTGATATTCTCTGGTTTAATTTTGATACAAAGCAGAATTCATTCTTCCTTCAAAGAAGGCATGTCATCAAATCCTGAGGGCATTCCTTCTGCTACCCACTCTAAAAGAATCTGCTGTGTCATCTAGATACTTTTAGGCAAACTTGAGATAACTTTGATATTCTACGACCACTATTATGCTATCCAACTTTTACCCTATATTTTCTAATGATAGAATTATGAATTTTTGCCATGTTTAATGAGGGAAGTCTACAGATCCCAGAATGTTTTTCTGAGATTCCTTGAGACTTGTGGCTTGAAATGATTTCACTAGAACAACCGTTCAGTATCAGCAGAAAGCTTCAAGGCTTTAGAAATTTTTTAAAATCAATTTCTTGGTTGAGACACATCAATTCCTTTTTTATAATGGTGTTCAGAAATATATTCTGAAAAGGGTATGACATTCCTCTACTGTCTTGAAGAGAGCCGAAGTTTGTAAGATTTATATAAGTCAAGTCTGGTCCTAATTATCCTTTAATTTAATTTAATTGACTGCACTAGGAGGGCAATTACTTGTACACATACATGCAAGAAGCAGGATCCTTATAAAGTCTGTATAACATTCAGTACAAAAATGTACAATATGTACAATGTAGAATACTTTTACAGAACATTGTTATCTTAGTTAGAAAGCTGTATCTCTTTCAGTCATAGACAGCCATCACACTAGTCATTCCCCAAGGTGAGCATACTTCAGACATGTAGGTTTCAGCTCCCAAAATTCTTAGAAATATCTATACTACCTGGAGAGTATTCAGCTGGAGAAAACTACATTAATAAATTACTCATGCTGATCCAACGTGTATGAAATTTCCATCAATTGTGTTTCAATCCTGATGGCATATTCACTTGATTTGTAAAATTTAAAAGCAAAACATATGAATGAACATTTTTACCTGGACCAACATGGGAATCTCTAAGGAGGAGGTTTTCCAGAATCAATATAAAATGCAAAATAGAATTCTCTTTGCAGGTCATTATTTTTTATGATATGACTTGCTTTACCTTTGAATTCCATATTAGCAGCATCTTCCAGGAGCTCTTCTTTCATGTTATTGAGAGTTTCAATTATCATATCTTTCATTTCTTCTTGTTTGCGGTTGGCTATACTCATCAGAGATTCGTACAGCTCATTCTCTTTTTTCTGTGTATACTCTAAACGCTTTGGAGTGATTTGCAGGTCTCGTTGCATGTCAAAGGCTTGGTTGATGAAGATGTCTAAGCAACGGTAGTGTACGATGTTCAAAATGGTGGCAGCGTCTATCAAACGCTGTTGCAGCACTTGTTTGGAGAAAGTGCTAAGCAGACGAATCTTATCAGATTGTTCTACCAGCATGCTTTGGGCTTTGGCATCAGTGCTAGGAGCTCCACAACTGCAATGGTTGCTACTAAGATAATCTAAATCTAGCAGTTGCCGAAAAAGGGATGACTTTTCAGTTTCTGCATTTTGAGGAGATATTAGTTCAGATCCCAAATCTAATACTTTGAAAAAGAAGATGGGTAAAGCGAACTTCTCTTTAATCTCTTGCAGCTCATTCATGTCCAGTGTTGAAAGTTCAGCCTCACTGATGGCAAAAGTGATGACTGGAAGAACGCTGTTGATAGATTCTCCCAAAGTGTCTTCGGCTGACTGGAATCCCCGACATGGAGCTATCACAATATCCATTTCCTGAAGATATCAAAGCATTAAAAATTTAACATTAAGGGCTGATTTGAGCTTTGCATCCTGCACTCCCTCCCTTCCACATCCACAGCAAAAAATGTATCTCTCCTGCTTTCAAGGGGAATCTGAGAAAGATAAACATAATAATAATCTTTAAGTACAATTAAAGTCTCAATTTTGTATAAGTGAAGATAATTCCTTAATTTTTCCTTTAACTCTCAGAATATAAAAAAAATCTTATATTAATGACACCAATTTTTCCTCATTTAGATACAGAACATGTTCTACAATACGACAGAAGAGATGGCTTCCAAAAATTGTAGATAATCCAGTGCAATTCTTCAGTGCAAAGCAGATAAACTTATTTAGCTTTCAGTAAAGTGGCTAGCTTAAATATAGTATATCTATATGGTTTGAGAAAACAGGATGATACATTACCCCTATGTTTTTCACAACAGAAAAACAGAACCATAATTAAGGCTATAATTATTTTGTAGGTGTTTCATAAGTAAACTGCCTAGTCTTTGTGCCAGATATCTGTGCTCTTCATAAAGCCTTGTAATTGCCTCATGCCCAGTAATTGCACTACAGCTACTGAATTGACTTGGTTGGCCTGTAATAACTTTATGTGTGTGTGTTAAACTACATTGGCTGTAAGAATTTTTCTTTTTAAAAATCTATACAGTAATTATGTAAAACTTCAGAAGCTCTATATCTCTATATCAGGGGTGTCAAACTCAATTTCATTGAGGGCCACATCAGCATTGGGTGCGGCCTACTGGGTGGGTGTGGAGTGGGTGTGGCCTACTGGGTGGGCATGGCCAGCTCTACATCGTTCGCGTCAAGGGTGCCTGTGGGGCTTGGGCAGGAGTGGGACAGATCTGAGGGTCTCTGGCAGAAGGGGATGGGACCGGAGCAAGCGCCAAGGCATGGTCCATTTCTTCATTCCTCACAAAGGGTGACACCTCCCCAGCATGCACCCAGGGGGCGGGGCCAAAGCGGCAGGGACTGGTTCCTCGCTGTTTCTAGACGGCCTTGTGGAGCTAAGACTGAATGCGCTTCAGCATAGATGGCCACCGCAAAATTGTACATTGGCTCCCGGTCAGCCTGGGCCAGGGCCAAAGCAGCGGGGGCCGTTCCCTCACTGTTTCCAGGATGGCTTCGCGGGCCACATGAAAACACTTCGTGGGCCACATCCAGCCCCCGGGTCTTGTGTTTGACATGTCTGCTCTATATTTATGGCCTCTGCATATTTTGAAATCTATTCTGATCCGCCTGTTTAATTCAGCTCATTTGTTTGATGTTCCTTTGATATACTGTCAGTTTACAAATATGAATAGCAGAATTGTAATAGATTCTGGCAAACACTCCCTGAACTGATACATTTTGCTTGACTTTTCACAGAAACAATTTATAACTCATTTTAATCACATTTTCAGCAGAATCAGAACCATGCCAAATATTACATTAAATAACAACTGCAGCCCCACCCCCATGCAAGTGTGTTATGAAGAATGAAGTGAAGAGCCAGGTTTAAGAAAAATTCAGGTATTAAATATATCACTTTGGTTGATCCAGATTCATATTACTCTTAAAACATTATATAAGCTTAGAACTGGTAATATAAAAAAGATCAAAGTAAATTTCAGAAAGAAGGTGTTTTGTCTCTGAACAAACATCAAACAAATACTCATGCTGTCTGAGATGCAGATTTCAATGCAACTTAGAGCAAACATCTCAACTGTCTCCACCCCGAACAAGCCAAAACTGAGCACAAAGATGATAACCCTATAAAACTATTACTAAACAATTAAATGTAGCAAATTTCAGCCACTTCAATACATCACTAGGTTTTCCAAAATTCTTTTCCTGCAACTCTCAAACTAAACTGTTAATTGCCGTTTGCCTGACTGTCATGGGACTTCAGAACATAGAATACAAAAACTGATGTTGCTAGGCAAAAGTGAAAGTTAAGATAAAGATTCATGAGCAAATCAACATTTGCCATGAGAGATGACTCACATTCATTGCAATAAACAAAGCCAATGAAGTGGAAAGAGTTAGACATCTCAATATGACAATCTTATTTGATGAACAGAAGCTAAAGTGAGTATTCTTGCTAGCTCTTATCAGTGGTTTTCTTTTAGCTTTTGCTTCTTCTTACACAGGATAACAGAGTTCCTAAGTATAAGGCTAATATTCCACAGTGGAACCTATTTCTGCAACCGGATTTAATGTTTGGAAATTAAACTTAGACATTCTCAACCAAATTAACTTTGCAAAAAAAAAATTGTAATTGATGAGTTAACAACTTCAGGACATCCACTCATTGCTCCAGCTGAATAAAATGGAAAAGTGTAAAAGAATTTTCGATATTAAATTAAATATATGTTAGAACTATAACTAAAGGAACTGGATAGCAAGTACCATCTTAAAATAGTATTTTTCTTTTACAAGAGGGAACATTGTTAACACAATACATTTTAATCATTAGCTGAAACCCTATTCACATCTTTTTTTAATAGCCAGTTTTCCTTTTTGGTATGCAGTCTTTTTAAAAATATATCTGTAATATGATAAAAAGCAACTTGAATGCAATTACCTACAAATAAGAATCAGCAATATTTGTAGATAACAGGAAGAGAGAAACTTATATTTTATCCATTCTATCCTGAGAATCCACTGGTGTTCTCCCACACTGCACCTTTTTTTCCAAAATGTGCCAGGATTGACCAATACTATTCACACTTTATATATGGGAATTAAAGTCTAATGCAGTTGGAAGAAAAGGCTGGAACACACTATCAGTCAGTTGAGCAGTCCCAATCTACTTCTCCACAGCTTTTTTTCCACCCCCCTCAACTGACTATATAATTATATAAATGCTCAATTCTTAACAGGGGTTAAGAATAGTATAATTCAGAACCTTCTTATATCTAATCTCAATGTGCATACAAAGAATTAATATCTTTAAGAATCTACTTTAAAAAAAGAAAAGTCTAGCAAGAAAAGTCTAGCAATGTTTGAATGAAAAATAATGATTTAGTCAGAGCTACATAGGGCATAAAAACCACATAGTAACAACTGCCTTCAATTCTTTGAATTAGATTAGCAGTATCTCTAGCAGTTGGAAACCAAAACAATTTTATTCAAGCCAAACATTTTACAATCTGGCTAAATAAATCCATATTTTACAATTCTACATCTTTTGTTCCTTAACATTTCTCTGATAGAATTCTGTGCAAAAATGACAATCTTGGCATTAGCTATTTTCACCTACTTATTTTAATTGATATTTCAATTAATTTTTTTTATTTAAAATTCCATAAATGGGAAATCTAACAATGGTCCTTTGGGGAAGGGGGGTTGAATTTAAAAACTCTCAATTTACTATTTCATATGATGCAAATACTGAATTTGTCCTAACTATATCCTGATTCTAACAAAAGTATCTTTTTCATCGATTCAAGAAGTTCACAGAACACCTTTCAGTTGTCTTCCATAAGTTGACTTACATAAATAAAACTAGATTAGCATATTTAGTTGAAATGCATGACATTAAAAGCAATAGTTTTCTGTGCTCACATTATATTTCATTCCATATTAGCAATATTCCAATATGAAGATATACTTAAAAAATAGACTTGTAGGTAAATTTTCTACGGCTAGTGGTAATACAATACAATTCTCATGTAATAGACAGCCCAAATCAAAAGAAACTTGAGTATATATCTATAATGCACTAATACCCAACTGAGGAATACAATATTTAAGTACAATAAAGGATATGGAAAAGAACATTTAAATTTTATAAATGTAAATTCTTAATCGCGGATAAACCAAGGGTTGACCAAGTATGCCAATCAATAAAATTTAAACATTTTATTTCCAACCAACGTTTCTTTACTTCAAATTGCATCCTCCATATTTCATACTCTAGAAACAGTAGTTTTAAATTCAGAGACACACATTGAAATTAAACTTAAGGATGAACTCAAACTCTTATATTTTTAAAGTTGTTGTTTAGAATTTCTTCATCTATATTCAAAATAAAAAATGTAACATTAATTAAAAGACTTCTGGCAAAACTACTTTCCTATGTTTAAACATGAAATAGTATGTACAAAGGTATTTGTTTTCATTGGTACCTGTAATAAAGTATGATTCAGTGTAACCTCCAACTCTGCAATCTGATGTGCCAGATCCTCACTGTCATCATGGATTTCTAAGTCCTCCTCAGGTATTGTTTCCCAACTACTTTGATGAGCTGCCAAATTATGAACCAATTCATACTGTCCTGGTAGAGCTAAACTGATCCGTGTTTGTCTTCCATGTGTGAAACGAATTCGACGTCTCTTACAATTCTCCTCGCTGCTAATTTTGGTGGTAGGTAGCAGTCTCCTTCCCAAGAGCATGTTGAGTAATTGGCATTTGGCATTACAGTTTTGACCGAAGATTAATAAGCATGGGTGACAGCTTACTGTCAGTTGGAGGTATTCCTCCTCATGTCGGGGAAAGGCGATTGAACTTAGCTGTCCTAAAAAAAAAAAAAAGCATATAAATATTATGAGGAATTTTATGCTGCAAGGTTCTCAGCACAGATTTCCCCAAGATTAACCTTCTCATTCAAGGCCTCCTATAAGTGTTGGGACTGCCAATTCCCAGAATTAATCAGCAAGCAGAGCCCCTGCAGCTTATATTCCCAATACATCTGGAGCAGATGTACCCAACCTGTGGGCCACGGCCCAGGCCATGGGCTGTTGGCCACTGGGCTGCCTGAGTGGCTGACCAGTGCATGTGTGTGTCGTGCACCCCCCCACAGTGAGCATCGTACAAGCGCTAGCTAGCATCATGAGCACACACCCTCACTTGCGCTAGCATTGTGGTGGCGCCCAGGCACTAATGTTGCCCAAGCATTGCGCGGGTGCTCGTGGCCACATTTGCGTCACATGTGCAATTGTGGCCCCATTCATGTGCGTGCTTGTAACCCCCTTCGCGTGCACATGGGCGCATAAAGGCATCTCTACACCCCCCCCCGCACCGGGCCAACAAAGAAAGGTTGGGGACCCCTGATCTGGAGGATTCCCATATAAAGAAGCCTATCTTAGACATATCAATTCTAAAGTAAGAACAAAATGTTCTTGTGACATTTCAAGGTTTTTCTTGATTACAGTGTAAGCATTCATGGATCACTGTTCACTTTGTCAAATGTATTATAGCCCTAAGAGAATTTTGTATATAGACAGTGTTTGCGGGGGGGGGAGGGGAGAGGAAGAGAGAGATGATGATAGAGAAATCAGAGACAGCAAGCTATTATCTCCACAGAGAACTGGATATGGCTTAGGAGCTACTGCTCCCACATATCAAGTCTGTTCTTCCCATGCCAGCAAATACACGTTTTAGGCAGTAAGGAGGATAAAAAGCAGCAATCCAGAATCTTGTGCTTTTAATTTACATAATGGCAGGAAATTGAATAAGCATCTTTTCCACAGGCCCCTTCAAGTTTAATGCAATACTAAAACTTGAATTTATCTTAATAGTTTCAGCTGATGAAAGAGAGGCAGCAACAGCAAGGCTCCCATCCATAATGATATTTCCCTCCCCTTCTATTCCCTCCAGCTATCAGCTGTTATTTCCAAGGCTACTGGTCCATCCACTCCATTGTGCACAGATTGCCTGCCTCCATATCCTATTATATTATAGCCTTCAAGCCATTCTATCTGAAGACAGTTAATCTGAAAAAGTGAGGAGTTATGTGTTGAATAACTTATTTTCCCCAAAATGTTTATCTCCTACCGCATTATCAAAATACAAAGGCTACTAATAAATTCAGAAATACAAATCCTATCAATGATATGTAGTTTTTACACAGCATATAAAATGGAAACAAGATAAAATAAAATAGTTATGTTGCTTGGCCATGTTGCCAGTTTTTCAGGGAGGGGTGCTCTTTGAACACTCCTATATTCAAACCATGATTGTGCAGCTTATTTCCTCTGTCATAAGATTTCCCACTGTTTCCCAAATAAAATTATCCGTAACCCAAAAACCTAAGCAACGGCAGACCTTTTTACCAGTTGGACAGGAATTAATTAGGAAATCCTAAGGCTACTGATTAGACTGGGAAATTGAAAAAAACATCCAGGAGGAAGGCCATAGTAAGCTACTTCTTGATGGCTGCCAAAAGAACTACATCTCCCTGTAGTTAACAGGAGTCAAGTTCAACTGAAGGGAGTCTTTAACATTAAAAGCGTTAGACAAAACTAGACACAGCTTAAAAAGTTTGCTATATGTCTTCAACACAGAAATATTAAGTGCAATTCTATGGATTAAATTATATTAATTTGATGTAAACCATACTTTTGTCACATTGATTATGTGGGACTGGTATGCAACTTTGGTTGATGCAAGGTGCACATAAATCAATAGAAGTTAGCATATCTGTACAGTATATGATTGCAGTGTTAATGTTGGTCTAAAATCTTGCAGGTCATATGAATAATAATGGCTATTATTCAAAGTTGTGGTAGCAATTTTCTATTGATGCACAATGCTTAGGTCAAGTAACAATGAGAAAATCAGGCACATTAATGTTCACATTTGTAATTGAAGCATAATACTTTCAGTTATAAAAATGTAATTATACAGAAAACAGAACTCTTTCTATACGCTGTTTATCAACTATAGATGCTAAAATGCAATAGTAGTATTTTGTATGCAGATTAATGCAGTAGAAAGCATATAAAAGCCGAAAGCGTTCTGCTGAAATTAAAATGGGACTGCTGTAACACCCACAATAAAAGGAGAAAGCTCTTTTCTGCAAAACCTGAAAACCAACATTCAAATTGAAGATGGAAGGTATGTTGAAATACAACTTTAAGCCCATTGTATGCTAAACAAGTTTGTGAGTTTTTTTCCTCTAGGCCAGGGGTGTTGAACTGCCGTCCCACGGGCCAGTTTCATCATACCGAAGCCAAGCCCACCCCGTTGCCAGCAATGCAAAGAGTCATGATACGTCGCAACATGTCACGTGATGTGGCGAGTTTGACACCCGTGCTCTAGGCAGTTCATCTCTAAAACCACAGGTAGTACACTATGTTGACTTAATTTTTTTTCACCAATCTAAAACTGTTGGCCAAGTGAACAAGTATTGCCAATTTTTATTCTTTTGGTAATAAAGTAGCATTTCAAATGTTTTCTGAATCCAAAAATGTAATTGCAGAGAAAAGATTTTCTTATTTTTAGCAAATGTGTGACATGATACCAAGTGTTTTTGTCCATAGGCCCTGAAGAAGTTTGAAAATCATGATTATGCAATTGGAAGTGAATTAGTCAGTGAAGAACAAGTTAGAAGGTTCTTTTAAAAAAAACATAATAGACTTTTGTTTTAAAAGTCACACCATTTTTTTTAAAAAAAAATCATGCTAAAAGTTTATTTAAAAAGAACTATGCAATGATTTGCTTTTATTTATTAAAATCCATTGTAATCAGATTGTTTTTAAGATTAACATGGGTGATCTTTTCCTAATACAAATTCAGGTTATTTCAATTATGACAGCAATTAGACTGGAATTGTTGTTGCTAAATAATAATCCCAGCAGTCCTAGCGCCCTTATAACTCCAAGATATGTGAGTTGTTAAGCAGGAAGTCTTAGGTAAAGTGGAAGTGGAAGTCTCAGGTAAAGAACATGGAGGTGTAGCATGGAGAGTTGGGGGAAACTTGGGGGGGGGGGCTGGCGCAGACTGTGTGTGTTAGGGCAGGCTGAGAAAGGCTTAGGAAGCCTAATGAAGGCCATGTGTGAATGCAAGAAAGCCAAGACATGGATGGTGCCATAGGATATGAGCACCAGGAGGCTGTAGGCAGGATGTCCCAGTGGGGCACAAGTGCAGGAATGCCGGGGGGGGGGGCTGACTTACCAGAGACCTTGCAACTTTCCCTGTTGGCTTCCCCATTGATTTTCCTTGTGAGAAGCCAGTGGGGAAGACCACAAATAGTGATCATGTAACTGCAGGACATCACAACCATTATAAGTGCCAAATACCCTAATCGTGACTTGTGACTGCAGAGGCACTGTGACGGCTATAACTTAGAGGGCCAGCTGTAAATACCATAGGAGGCAGCTTTGTCTATGGTTAAGGCATAAGGCTGAAAACTAGAGACCATGAGTTCAAGTGCTGCCTTAGCCATGAAAGTCAGTTGGCGACCTTGGGCCTGTCACTCTCTCTCAGCCCAACTCACCTCACAGGGTTGTTGTGGGAAAAATAGGAGGAGGAAGGTGTGCTGGATATGTTCACCACCTGGAGTTATTTGTAAAAATAATAAAGGTGAGAGATTCGACAGACAGACAGGGAGACAGACAAAGATAATAAAGTCATAAACGATTCTAGGGGACAGAACTCATCTTCGTTTCTTTGCTTAAGGAGCCAGCATTGTCTGAGCACATTTGGCCAGCATGACTATAAACCAAGGCACATGGAACACTGTTACTTTCCTACCAAAATGGTATCTATTTATCTACTTGCATTTGCATGCTTTTAAACTGTTGTGTGTGTATGTGTATATATACACACACATACATATATACATATTACAGGACCAGCTGTAAGTGCTTATTACATATTATTTAGCACCATTGCAACTTCAAATTATCGCTGAACAAGTAGTCAGTAGCAAGGACTACCTGCATACTGAATAAATATTTGACTATCCAATTCTAATCACAATTCTTACTGTTGAAGCAACTTGCTTTGCCAGTATCATATAATTCAGGAGACAAAGGGTACAGGTATTGGTTGAAATTGTCTAAATGTATAAAAACAGCAAAGCAGCAAGAAGCAATCTAGTGATTAAATTTGCCTGTATAGTACTGGGCAACTATCTTTGCTTTGAATAGATTTATAAAGGGAGACAGAACACTGTCATCAAATAACTCTCTAGGCAGATGGTTGACTGAAATTAATACCCTTCATGAATATTTTAACTTCCTATCACATATCCATTGACTCATGGAGAAGGCTGTTAAGGTGTATGTAGAAAATCTCTAATTAGACATCATCCAGGTAAACAAAAAAAAATTGCTCAAACTATTACTAAAGAAATGCTTTGGAGTCCTGGATGATTTCTGGTTGTTAAATAAACTGTTCGGCCCACTGAAATTAATTGTAACAATAGTCATACAAGATTTTAATTCAACATGCTTAGTTGCAAATTTCATCTCCATCCCTAATGTATAATTATCAGGTTCATAGTTGCTTATTCTCTGGTTCCATCCACTTGCAATCATAACAAAAAGGTATTGTATGAACTAGAGCTGTACCATACTTCAGATCTGAAAGTAAAATGGTTTTTCAGAAAGGAGGGGCAGGAATGTAGGTTTGCAAACCTTTATACCAACTGCATCTTTTCCTACGATCATATGGCACAAATTGTGCATGGTCTTAGTAAGAACCAGAGTTTATCCCAATGCTGCAAATGCACAAGAAGCATCTTGGAAGCAGTATTACATGTACAAACCTGCCCAAATCTTTGGCTCCAAACTGTAACAAAGCAACTTTACTCCCATTACCCTTTCAGGTATTATATCAGTTATCAAACATAACCTGGCAACTACAGTATGCTGGGTATACAGCCTGTTTCTATATATGTTTATTCCATCTAGTAACACTATTTCCCAAGGGACAAGGGAAGGAGGACAGAAATGTTTAAATTAACTGTTTAAATTATTAATAAATTGTTTAATATATTAAACAGTTAATAAATTATTAACTGTCTCATTTTCCCATAATAGACATCTGCATACCAGGGAGAATTTATACTGCTTCAGTTGTATATGCAGTAATTTCTTCAAATAGAGATTTTCTTAGTATATTTTGGTCTACTCCATGAGGCATGAACCACAGAAGTCTCTAAATAGACAAGTTATGAGATAAGGACTTTTCCTTTCTGTCTTTGATAGAGCAAAACATTCTACTAACCCTAAAATAACTGCCAGATCAATATTACAGCATTGTTATAACTTTCATATTAATAGCTCTCAACCAAAAATTCAATACTTAAATGTTTCTTGAAATGTAAATTACAAGACAAACGCAAACAGCCCAAAAGACTTATATGAAAGTATTTCTCTTATCAGAAGACACATATTTTGACTACTCACTTACTTAGCATAAATTTATCACATTTTTCAAAGATACAGGTTATATATTCAACTTACACATTTCTTCAGAATCTTGTTCCAATTTGTACAACGAAACATTATTCTATTAAGTCCTATACAGTGCATCTAGGCTTTGGATATATCCATTTATTCATACATTTCTTCAAAAATATTGATTTATTACTTCATTAATAGCTCTAGAAATTCTACTGTTTCCAATGTTAATAAATGGACGATCTGTTTACAAAGTATCCAGAAGCTAGATTCACATATTTGGGGGAATCAAAGAAAAAAAAGGAAGTGAAAAACAATTAGCTTCACCCTACATACTATTCTATTGTGATGTTTATAGTTATCTTCTAATCTAATTGCTACTTGAGAGAACAGTATAGTATTCAAGTTTGCTGCCTATAGATCATGCTTCAGTATATTTGCTTCAAAAGGATGATGGCAACTTTCATCTCTTTTGCAAATTTAAAATATTCATTTATTCTGATTTGGTCAATTCTTTTTCCCTAATAAGTCATAATTTAAATGCTTAAAATTTGCTTTGCTGCATAATATGTAATAAATATGGAAGCCATTCTTTCCTTAAATTTGATCAAACATCTATTCATGAATAAATGCTGTTAATTTAGCCATTGCTGCACATTCTCCAAGTTTAAGTTCCCAGACTTTTGTTTTGCTGGAGTAAAGAAAGATGGTTTACAGTTTACACAATTACTGAAAACAGATCTACAATCCAGCACTGATGATGTTACCTAGTTTGGGTAATAAAATGTCTGCAAGAAAACAAGCTCAGAGAACACCAAGGACCCCCTCCTTTGAACACTGAGCTACAAATAGTATCATTAATCCAAGATATAAAGGAAGGACTTGCACAAGAATCAGGAACCAGGTAAAATCTCCAAACTAAGAATTTTAAAATAGAGAGTTTTGGTGTTTTTTTCCAAATATCGTCTGTTGGGAATCACACTGCCCATCCTTCTTTAAAACACAGTAAAAACTAGCCACGGGCCAGCATCAGCAGCTCTTCTCTCAGGTCAGATGCCCTAATGGAGAATACAGCTGTCATTTGTGCATCCACAGCAGGCCCCCTGTGCTGGGAGGTGGACAGGCTTGAGGTGACACAGGGTTGTCAACTGCTGCCTTCAAAGCACCTCCAAAAACACTTCTCAGTTTCCATCAATTCTGTAGCTGTCTTCCACCTGCCCTTTCTCTATCCCAGGGGTAGGCAACCTTGGCTCTTTTATGACTCGTGGACTTCAACTCCCAGAATTCCTGAGCCAGCATAGCTGGCTCAGGAATTCTGGGAGTTGAAGTCCACGAGTCATAAAAGAGCCAAGGTTGCCTAACCCCTGCTCTATCCGCTGCTCAAATCTGGGGTTTTCTCTCTCCAGTTGAGCCCACCCCTTCACTTTGCCCACAGGATTTCTGTAAAGCGCGGGCCTTTCCCGCTTCAGTGATGGAGACAGAAAGAACCACAGCTGTCCCGATTTGTTTTTTCCTAGACGTCCCGTTTGATGGGGTGCCGGGAACTGCCCCCCCCTCCCCAGGAGCCTGAATGCAGGTCTTTCTCCCACACCGTCGTCTCTGTTACGCCCCTCACGCTTACCGGTCTGCAGGGAGGCACCCCCACCAGCAGGGGCGCTATCCACGGCCGAAGGGGCGGGGTGTTGTTCCGGCGGCTCCTCCCCGACAGGCCCAGCATTAGCAACGGGGAAAACAGGGGGCCCTTGGGAGTATTTGATGTCGCGGAAGAATTTCTTCGTTTCGCGCAAGTTGTGCTGCAATCGCGCTAGGTGCCGGTTGTAGTGGCCGAACGTGCGGCATAGCTCGCGGTTTAATCCTCCGCCGGAGCCGCGGACGGCGGGGCCTCCCCATCCTTCCGACATTTCCTCCGCCGGGGCTTCAACTCCGGAGTCCCCTTCCCACCACGGTGGGGAGTCGGACGATGCCAGGCTGTCGCTGCCGCCTTTTCCCCAGCCTTAACCTCCTGCTCCCCTGTCAGCAGCGACGCATGAAGTCGCACTGCGCACGGAACGGAACCTTTATCCGGGCGCTCTGCCGGGGAGAGGGAGGTGGCCAGGGGCGGACCCCATACGGATATTTTGGTCGCCTTGAACTATGGGGAATGTAGTCGTATTTGAGAGAACTTCCCTATTCTATCAGTTCCTTTCTTTATAGGGGAACTCTGAAAATAGGCACTTTTCCCGAACAGTATCCTGGGTTTTGTAGTTTTCAAGCTAAATACTGAAATGTTTTCCGTTCTCTTCCAGGGTTAACTTACTGAAATTCGGTAGCAGCTTATTAGAGGCTTTAAGTTAAGTATAAATGGGGAAAAATGAAAAAAAATAAGTGAATGGGAACTTTAAAAGAATATAAAACCTCCAAATGTAAGGGTATAATTGGTAAAAGGTTATGCAGTTAACTCGTTTTTGTGAATATTTCAACGTTTTATTTCCTTGGAAAATAGAAAATGGTTCATTCTCTGAACTGAATTAAGGATGAAGCAATGGAAACTTGTATTGTTGCCAATAATACAACATACCGTATGTGTCCAGGTAGTCACAAGAATCAAGCTTGGAAGAGATGTTGGTGTAGCTAAATGAAATAATTGACAGATCAATTTTCAACATGATTTAAACTTTTCTCCAATTGCAAAGGCTAGGAATATAGTATACCTTATGAATGCATTATTTAATTAAATGAATAATTAAAACCCATATATCATCATACAGAAAACAAATATTTAAATCATAGCAAGTCACACTGTTTTGCTGAATAAATGCATATCCTTCTATAAAATTTTGGAAGATAATTGGTCTAAAGCTTAGTAAGCCTCTAAAGGAATAGGATCAGTAAATCATTCGAACTATCTTGTAATAGAAAATTAATACTAGGAGAAACAGAATAGTGGTTGCATAACAAAGATGTAGTAAATAATAATAAAGACAAATTAAAAATCAAATAAATAGTAATGAGATATATTACAGTTTCTTATATTTGGATTGCATTGTCTCCTCAAAGTTGTCTAGACCTAGACTACCACTTAAAGCAGTAATCTTTTTTAAGCAGTTATGCAAATAATATTTTGAGTAGTTGCTGCCAATGCAACGTTATTATCACATGATATTTTTAGGATCCAAAGGGTGGAGTTCTGATTTCCATGGACATACATACAAAATAACTTAATAACACCAAAGTTATTTGCCTGAACACATACCCATCTTCCTGCTGGCAGATGTAACTGGGTAATTCCCATAAAATAAAAAAGGAATCCTTTATTCCTACTTCATTTTGAATGACCTTCAGTACCCCTTGGCCATTATGAACTCAGCTGAGCTGAAAGGTTTATTTGTGGAAAAAGTGCCGTACCATAAAATTCCATGTTTGTGGATCATTCAGTTTTCTTTTTTAACTGAAGAAAATGCTATTAGGACAAAACATTTCTCCCAATATTAAAATAGTCATATCTGCTTAACTGATTGGCTTGAATGTTGTATCAATGCAAATAAAAACAGAACCAAATCTCATAATTAAGCACAGTGCTTAATAAATTTTAAAAGAATGTGCACAGGATTGTATTTTTTTATTCCCATCGTCTCTTATCCACAATTGTCAGACAAAATACTTTAAACATGTATCAATAAGTTATGAAAAATGTTTATTCTGAAGAAATTAGGTTACTGTCTTCTTATCCTCTTATTACATGTCTTCTTGGTGGACATGTAATAAACTCTAGTAATTGACATAATGATAATGTTTTGTATAAGTTGTCCCACTGAATTCTGATAATTGTATAAGCATTATGTCTCATTCTGCTATATTAATTCACCAACATTAGGTTCCCTTAAAATCAATATATATATATATGTTTTTTTCTTTTAGAGCACCCTGTCGGCCCAAATATGGGAAAGAGAAGTCTTTTGCCTATATCAGCTCAACCTAGAGCCATCCATATTTGGGCCGACAGGGTGCTCTAAAAGAAAAAAGCATTCATCCTCTTCCCCTGTCTCTTGTAGCTAACAAAGTGAGAAAGAGCCTGTGGCCTAGTGGCTAACACCTCTGCTTAACATGCAGACAGCCCAGGTTCAAATCTCAGAAGGGTATGAGTTAAAATGTTTTGTGGAATCAGCAGAGATATAATGGAATTAAAATGGACTGTATAAATATATAGCCTAACAACTAGCATTTAATCAAGGGATAAATTCCATACATATTAATGTTCTGGTGATAGTCTTTAACTTACTGGATCATTCCAAAATGTTACTGTATAAGCAAAGGTGGTGGGTGACAAGTCCTTTTTCTCATTTCTTTTTTACTTTAGTCTTCCTTTGCATTGAGGAAGGCTACAACCCATATGGAATCTTATTCTTTTTACACAATATGATAACAAATAATGGTGCAATACACTCAGTTTGCAGTCTGGATCCATTCAGGTCTCTTCTTAATCTCTGAAGGTTTGTTTACATTACAAAGTTTCAATGGTTACCTGAGAATTATTTCAGGGTTGTCATTTAGAGACAATAATCCCTGACCCTCATGGAATTCACTGGACTGTTTTAGGTCTTTGTGTTTCTTTATGGACTGTGGAATTGACCACTGCCCTGCACTCCCCAGGAATAAACTGTTCCTGGGGTAGGTGTTTGCCTAATTGTAGATGAGGTGTCATAAAACAGACAGCCCTAATCTTGCTAGAATCTGTGGGGTTTTTTTTACTCACTTAGATTACATTAATTCTCTGCATAAAGAATTTAAAATCTAAGACATTAAAAAAAGTCAGTGTTTGATTGGCCAAGATAATTGGTTGTCTTGGGAACTGGTAAATCTAGTCTTTTGGTCATCTGTTACATTGCAGCCTAGACCTTAATCAGTCATCTTATCTTCCAACTACAAATTCTGTAAGATTTTTCAGCATAAATAAAACAGTTATACATCAGCCTTCCCCATCTGATACCCACAAGATGTATGGTAGTCCCCACAACTCCTAGAAGTAGCAGGATAGGAAAATTCCACCCTTCTTTCCTCATTTTCTGGCCCACAGACCCTTTTTCCCCAGCCTCTATGTGCATACACATACCCGGCATCCTCTTCTCCCCTGCCCGTCACCAGCTTGAACAGCACTCATGTACTTTGGAGTAAGAGAAATGTAGGAAACAAGAGAAATTTGATTGAGTGGTAAAGTATCTGGGAACAGAAGTGCAGGAACGAAGGGCTTTTAATGGTCCATGGGGAACATTTTATTTCATTCACACTCAAGCAATTCCTTCCACGTAATTGATCAAACAGGCTGGACAAAGTCAATAATTGGAGATAATTTAAAAACATGATTTATGCTATTCAATCATATATCTGTCCTACCTTTGGCTCTGCTAAAACAGGGTTTGCAGGTTTTTATATTATTTCAAAAACCTACAAAACAGATTTGGACAAGTTGATAATGGGTCTAAAGAAAAAATGTATACATCTTCAAAGAGAAATTCTTTTAAACCATACATAATCCTTCAAACTGATGATAACTCTCTAACTTTATGTTGCAAATATTCCAAAACAGATAATTGATTCTTTCTTTTAACAATAAGCTTCAGACTATAAATATTTTGAAGGCTCACCTTGTTTACTTTAATACTCTAAATTATCTATAATATTTTAACATAATCCTTAATTTTAAACTCCCTTGATCAGTATTATGATATATGAGACTATTTATTTAAAGTATTTTTTTAGCCTTTTTGCTTGATAGCAGACCCCTGTAAAGTGATCGGAAATATGTGATAAATAATATAACATTATTCATAACATTTAAAGTTATTTGGCAGATGATATTGGAAATTATTCAGTTCATAATGATTAACCTCTTGATGTTATTGCTACTGATGTTTTAATAGAAAGTGGGCAATCAAATACAGGGATGGTGACTAAATCCAGAAAACCAGGAGAAGTGGTAGAACTATGCAGAGTACCTAAAATAGGCCTGATGTAGCGGATAGTGATATTTCCCCATGGGAAGACCTATGCAGATGTTGATCTCTGGTGAGAAATATGCCACAAGAAGAGCAGGGTCCATTAGTTTTCATGGAAACTCAGAAAGTGGTATCTTGCTTTGTGGGAACCTTCTGTTTGTACAATTTCCTCAGCTCCCTCGTTCCTCTAGGCAGCCCTGAAACAGTATTAAGTTGTCTGTAGATACCTTATCCAACTGTTGATTCTAGGTATGTTTGGTCTACCAGGATGGAAATTTTAGAATTTACAGTCCCAATATATCTTAATATATACTGAAAGCAGCTATCAAGATCATTTTCATGTCGCAAAACTAATTCCAAAGGGCTCCAAGCTGAGACATTTGTATTAATGAATACCCCCCTGTAAGGACTTCCATAGGAAATTATCTTTATGAAGCTTATGAATGCCCTGCTGACTTAGTGAATTATGCATCAGGCACATTCTGATTTGGCCCTCATGCTGTCTAATGAATTTCTTTGAAAACTAAACTGGAACCATGCCTTAAAAAAACAGAGGAACAGCTCAACCTCTTGCTGACAAAATTTGGTAAATCAGAAATGGGCAAAGTTGTAATAAGATAAAGGAATTTATCCATTTATATATCCATTCATGTTTCATTTTCTAATTAACTTTTTCCTTTGAAGGAAACTAGTCATCCATAGTCTGTTGAAGCACTTATCTCTGAGTGATGTAATCTGTTTATTTGAAAGGACTGAAACTGATCTTATACTCACAGAACTATATTATGAACATCTTCATAGGATTGAGACTTTTGCTTGAAAATAATGTCAATGAAACCAGACAATCTTACTTTTTGATTATGAATTGTTCACAACTGGATCTGTAAAGTTGATCTAGTGACTGTTTAGAATATTTAAGTTGCTTGAAA